TAATTTCTTAATGCTAACCGCCGAGTGACATTTTCCACAGCCAAATCAAAGATTAATTACCAGTGAATAATTCCATGTGCAAACTATAACGTCACCCGAAAAGGTCCAGAAGTTTACTGATTGATCGAAAACTTGTTGCATATAATCGTGATTTTCACAGTCAGTTTCCATTATTTCATATTGATGTTGTCATTTTCAGACAGCCAATTCATCAAGGATTCAGGAAGACAATGTGGCACAGACTTTCTTTAAGAACTTTACATTCCATGAGGTTTAAAAAGTTACCGATGAATGGGATTTTTCACTGAATATTTCGTTTACACGCAATTTTGGATTTTCCTCTGTGACAAAAACAAGCATTTTAAACAGCCATGGTGGGGATTATCTCCATATTGTCTGCCAAGATGTCCACTTGGTAGTGTTATTCAAGAAGACTGGACAATAATCTTCCTTGCTCTCAATTGCAGTAGCAAAAACAAGACATCCCTCCACTCTGCTGGGGTGAGATGGGGGTAGATTTCTCCCTCTGGCAGGCCGATTTCTTAATTTCAGCCAGCCACATGGCACATCACAAAAACATTTTCCAACAGCAAAGCCTAGAAATTTTTTTTTTTTTCATCTGTATACATAATATATTTTCCATCTTGAATCATACTATTCTTTATTTAAAAATATATATGTAAAAATCCGCCACATGTTGAAATGTATTCCTTTTGAAAATGTTGAATTTGTTTACTTTAAACATCATCATAATCAGCAACAAGTTGTAATTCCTCCTGCTACAAACTGGTAACCAGTGGCAATCTCATCTATTACAAACCTCTAGCATCCTTCACTACACTATCGTTATTTCATAGATTCTACAATTATCAAGAATTAAAAATCTCCAACATTTATTGAACAATCCCTGTGCCAAAATAATTGTTATATTTGCATACACATTTCATACATTTAACAAGTATTATGGGACAGAGATAGTGTAAAATAACATTGATACATAAGCACGGTTTAATTTTTTTTGACCGATTCATACACAAGTAATTCATTTGGTGAATACAAGACATGAGGAAACATTTAAAATTAAAACAAATAAAAATGTTGACTTGTTACTATTATGATCATCTCAGCAAAATCTTTGAAGTAATACTTTGAGCAAAGAATTTTTTTTCAACAAAATAAAAAATTCCTAAAATTAAAAATAATTAAGTTAATCCAAAGTTTCCAAAAAGTGGAATTTATACTACAGATAATCTTGTATTTGCTAAAGATTAATCATAAATTACTAAAGCTTCATCATAATTAATATTAATGATTAGTATTGATAATGATTTCATTTTTAATCAAGATTTTGAATTTCAAGAATTATTGAATATTCTCACTACACTGACCTTAAGTTACGATCAAAATAAAAAAATGAGATTTAACACGAAACATTGTTGTTACACTAAGGCTTTTAAGAAGCCAAATGATTTATTTATTTTGAATAAGTTCAAATAAAAGAAAAAAAATTTTAAATCATAATACATGTCAACTTAAAAGAAAAAGCCACAAGTTGTCCTAAATGACCAGGAATAATTAAGAATGAATTGAGTAACATTAACAATGTTTAAGTGTATTATTCATCATTTATTTGTAAATTCACCGAAAGATGTATTTTAAAAGATCTTATAAAATAAAACTAAAAGAATAAAAGATAGTGGTAACAAAGATTTGTTTTATGAACTCTAGAGAGCTCAGCTTTAAAAAGCCCAGTTGTGCATATACATTGAAAACCTGTTAAAATGTCCATTCACAAGAAAAAGAAACAAAAAGGTAGCCAATGTTTAGTTTTTTCTTGTAAAAAATTCACTGAGTGTGAAGGTGAGGAATAATACGGAACGGGTGTTAGTCTGCTGCAAATGATATTTCAAACAGTAAACAAGACAGTTCTGCAGCAGGTTGGTAGAAGTTGATTGAAAAAGCAGACGAAATCGAAAATTTATCACTAGTATATTGCTGTTAGTTTATTATCTTTATTGTTTAAAAAATGTTTCTACGAAAAAAATGTCTAACTAAAAATTATTTTAACACTGCAGTTGAAACAACAACAACAAAAAAAAATGAGAATCTCGAGTAAAAATCGGTCAGTATACAGCACGGCTTAAATAAAAATACATATTGATTGCAGCTAAGAATAAGCAGGCTCAATAACAACGGCTAGAAAAACTTAACTGAGAATAATTTAATTAGAATTCTAATTGGAAGAATAATTAAAATGCATTGGTTATTCGGCTTTTTATAGAAAAATCAATGACAGAATTGCAAGTAGGAATATTTTTTGAACGCCCTCTTTTTTTTTTTTTTTTTTACTTTTTTTAAACATTCGCTACAAACAAGTGTTCTCATTGGTTAGAAAATGTAAATGATAAAAATTCAAAAGTTTTCTCAGCTCGTGATCCTAATTTTTACACAAACTATCTTTCAAATGAAATTGTCTTTCTTTACTAAGATCAGTTGCACAATAATTACAAAATTTAGTGACAAGACGCGTGAAATTTTAACTACGCCGACGGTTACACTTTTGCCTCCCCCCCATTATTTGAAAATCAAGATGTTTAAATGAATGTATTGTAAACAATGGGTTATATGTTTATTATAACCCATTTTTAACGTTTCCTTTATGATTCATAAACCTAACGAAATAAATACAAACAAAAAAAAAACAAAAAAAGGGGATATTTCGAATGCTGATTTTCAAGGCGAACTCTTTCCGGTTGGAAGAATCTCCTAAATAGCCATTATTCAGCCTTTAGTATTTTTATCTATGTGTCTGTAACTAGTGTACTAACTAATAAATAAATAAATGAAAAAGGTTAAGGGCAAACTTTCTTAAAATTATGTCTTCATGCTGTTTATGCAATTACAGAATTAGATAACTGAACAAATAAAGCAAGTGTAATTATAAAAAGAAATGTGAATTAGTAGTAGTTTTTAATTACTTTTTCAGTTGGTGTTAGTGACATTTTCATATACCCCCCCCCCCACAGTCTTAGAGGTCATTATCTTGAGGTCTTAAAATTTAAATTCACATTCCTTAGCTAATAAGGAGAGAAAAATAATTATGGGGAAGGTAGAACTGAAAGTAAAAAGGCATTTATTTCGATCGTAGATACTGGCAAAAAGCCAGACAAGAAAAGAAGCCAGATTTCTCTATTCAATCGGCCTGCTGTTGCTTCTTTTTTAGTTCTTTAAAAAGCGAACCTGAAAATTAAGCAAAAATGAAAGGAAAAAAAAAAAGAAATTCATGAAAGGAAAGTCCAAATATAAACTGAACGAATCCATAAAAAAAATCGATTTTTGGATCTTCTTCATTCTTTAACTAAGTTTTGCTGATGATGAGTAAAGTTAGTACTAGCACACAATTTAAAAAAAAAAAAAAAATAACTGTCACGGAGACAAGGTTAGTGTGCTTATAAAATAAAATCAAAGATTATTTTTTAAGGTTATTTTGAATGATGATGTCCTGATTACTAAAAGTAATTGATATTTATTTCATTAATTTTAGTAAATCAATTACACAAAAAAAAAAAAAAAAAGATATTTTCCTAGCCTCTAGTCATCCAATTGAAGGCTTTACCTTCTAAGCATAAAATATGGCTAGAGAAAGTTGTTATGATTTTTATTTTTTAGCTTCCAAAATGTATCGTCTGCTGATGAATTACACTTACACACGATTTAACTTCCGTTGAACAGAAAATATATTTGTAAAAAAGTGGAAATGTTCTAACTTTAAGTTAACCAGAAAAAAAATTTAAAGAAATTTATATCCGGATCTTTATTGTAACCTACTGAATCCAGGGATTAATTAAAAAAAAAAAAAAAAAAGGTCTTAACACTCAAACAGCATAAATTGCATATTAGGATTTTTGTTTGTTTTTTTTCCGTATATTTTTCTTCATTTGTGCATTAAACTAGTCATTTGCGATGGAAATAAAAGTTTAGGTTCCGCTCTAGGAGAAATAAGAACCAATTGAATTAAGAAATATTTACCAAGATATCTATCAAACGGAGATTCTAGTTTTTAAAATGAATTTAATCAACATTCAAGTCAAGTGTACGTTAAAAAAAAAAAAAAAAAAAGTAACCAGAACAGTACAAAAAATATTTAAAAAATTAAATTAAAAATATTCAAATTATTTACTATATCAATAATAAAAATTATGATCGAGTTTCATTGGCAACTGATTTTAATTTTAATAATCAATCACTGCGTCACGTCAAAGGGAAAGTTTCCCCATCAAAAGAAAGTCATCTTTTAATTTTAAACAAAACCTAATTGTAAATACAGACAATTTAAAATGTAATCTCTGATAATTAATATTTCTTTTTATGTATACAGAGAAGAAATAATTATTCAAAAAAAAAAAAAAAAAAAAAAAGATCAAGCCCGGACATTCAGTGTTATTACAAAAATGAAAAAAAGTCTGAATCACCAGAAAATGCACACACAATTTTCACAAATTAATTTGGATCATATATCCAGAGAAAATACATATTAAAATAGTTAACAACTGCGTTTATATAGTTTTATATATATAAGCTTAAGTTTAGAAGCTTAACGTAACTTCAAGACAAAAAGTATTACCATTTCAACGTTAAGCAGCATTTAGAAGCAAAAAATATCTATATAAAAAAAGAAAGATTTAAACACGTGCATCGTTTCGAATAACATCAATAGAGAAAACTGAGTTTGATGTAAAAATAAATACATTTCAAGCAGTAGTAAGTCGAAATAGACAGAAATTCCAATAATTGAAGAGAGAGGGGAAAGCAGCAGTTCTCTTTAAGAGTTTTGAGAAGCAAACGATTATAAACCAATTTTACAGTGATGGCTAGTTATTCATCTTCATGTAAACTATTAAGAAGAAAAATGTAAAACCATCGATCACACCCGTTGTGGGGGCGAAAAAAAAAAACGATAAAAAAAATTCCATAGCCAAGTAAAATTTAAAGTGACTTACTTCAGTATAAAAATTAGAAAAGGCGTCCTCGACACCTTTGGTAGAGGAAGATTCCGCCATTTTGAAGTAAAGCTTAATAACTTCATCAAAAGAGAGTTCTAAATCTATGGGGAGATAACATAGAATAAGTATTTATCCGCGCGCGCAGTAGACCGAAATATGGCGCAAAGCCCAGTTTAAAAAGTAGGCATTTTCCAAATACATGGGATTGCTAGCAAAAATTGTCCAGTTTCCTTGACACATCTATTTTAGGGCGCTTTAGGGATTTACCCTAATCCTCTTAGTGCAATGGGAGATATACTCCCTTCAAACTGGACTTGGTTCGTTTCTGCCTTAACACAAGAAAGAAACAAAGAAGCGATATTGTCTGGAAAGAGTGCAGCCATGATTTTGAAATCGTCCTTATAAAACACTTGTCCAGTTTGTACTCATAGAGAAACAAGAAAGGTTTAATAAGAAAAAAAATACGCCTCTATCCTTTAAGCAAATATGAATTAAGGAAAATTTATTGACAAAGTACACGGTTTTTGGGGTGCCTGGACAGACAATATGCTTAGCTTATATTAGCTAGCATGTATAGATGGAATCAGCAGTCCAAGTTAAAATTTCATCCAAGACTGTTGTATTTATTTCTCACTAACACCCTTAGAAAAGGCACAAATCCAACTCTTCAGCTATGGATAAATACTAAATAATAAGGTAGACTAGGTTTATGAGTTGCTAAGGGAACCAATCTATCAGATATATATAAATTCAAAACTGTGAAGAAGACAACTCTATTATTTTTCTCAAGGAGAGAAATGTCATAGTAATTCACAGGAAGAAAAAGAATCTGTGAAGAATTGCGACTTTTTGTTTTGAAGGGACGTGACATTTAAAAAAATAGCGAAAAAATTAACTTCTCTATTGCCATGGCCCATAATACAAACCAAAGTAGGGAGCTATGTTAAATTTGCCTGGCTAACACCAGTTTGTTTTATTGTTACTGAATTACAACTTCAATTGTGTGTATGCATGGTATAAAAATTTACAGTAAAAAAATTAATAAAAAGGTAAATATAAACAAATAATGATACAATAGACTAGATTTGTTTATTGCACTTTCTTATGAGAGGAGTATTTAAAAAAATAATTATAAAAAGAAAGCCAGATGGTTAGTTAATTAAAAATAGTTTCAATAAATTTAATGTGTAAAGGCTGGTTAGTGGCATTATTGCCTTGCTTGGGGTGAAGTGATTTAAAAAAATATTGCAAAAAGTTTAAAAGATACATTTTCTAATTTTTTTTTTTAATCGACGGGGAAAGTAAGTTACGAACACAAGGTATCAAATTTCTGTTTCAACTGGGAGCCAATTCATACCTATTTAAGTTCTGGCTTGCCAGACTGACAGAAGGGACTTAGCTTTCACATGTGAAGGTGACTACTGGGAGGCAGAAGGTAAAAGGATATTGGCTTTCACGGATAAAAACTGCTAACAGCTACTAGGAGAGCAAAAGGCTTAAGGGTTTTGACATTTGCAAGGACAATGTTGACAAAAGAAATGAAGAGGAACCAAGAAAAAATAAAAGCTGACCGTGTCACCATCAACAGCAAACAAGAAGCTAAAAGAAAACTGAAAGAAAATTCACAAAATTAGAAGTATCAACCCTGATTTTGAATATTTATAAAAAACAAGATTTGTCTCAATATTGAATTTCAGTTAAAAAACTGAACTATATGTAGCATCCATTACTGTCGAGCATGCTTCTCTCCGGTGGAAAGCCTTCATTTCTCCTTTCTTCACTCCAACCCTCAGTGAAGATCTCATCTCCAGCATGAGTGATTGTTAGCAACGTCCTTTCACCTCTTAATGTCCATGTGCATCACCCTCATGTCTCTTTTACAGATGTCCTTGAAGTGAAGATGGGGTCACCCATGTGCCCTCTTGCTGGTGGCCATGCAGAAGGACTTTTGGAATACTCCCATCCAGTATATGGTGTACATGTCCAAGTCAGCAGCACTGATGCTGTTGGAGAAGGACATATAGAATGTGTAACTGGGCATGGGTGAGAACTACAGAATAGGTGATCTAGTCAGACCAAGTGATGCCCAGAATGTGTCTCAGACAGTGAAGATAATAGGCGCTGAGGCATCTCTCTTGTCTGATGTAGAGGCTCCAAGTCTCACTGATACTGGCAGCACATGCCCTATAGACTGCAATTTTGCTGTTTGTAGTAAGCTTTCTGTTCTCCTAGACTCTTGAGATCAGCCTCCATTGTTTAAATTATCTAGCAATATGGTGAATTTGCCATCTTTCTTAAAGATTTTCAACTGTTGAATATATGAAAGTAAGGGAATATTTTTTTAAAAAAACTATAATTGTTACTTTTTATGAGCCTAACAAACTGTGATTTTAGAATATGTTATCTTGCCTATTTGTAAGGTAACCCAAAGGAAAATTTTGTGTAAACTTGTATTGTAAAATTTATATTCTGTTTTAATGTTTTTTGTGCTATTTAATAAATGTAAATTTTTTTTCAATTTCACATCGGAGTAGGAGTTTTTTTTTTTTGTTTTCATTTGCACCTTTTACAATACCCAGGATAAGAGATGTAATGTTCTCTCTTTTCCTTCTCCTTTTCTGGACCCCCAAATCAATGACATGCAGAGGCTTGGTGATACCCAGGGTCAACTCCTTGATTGTATGCCCTATAGGGCCTAGTACTGAGAAATGTAAGAAGACATTTTTAATATGTAAAAACAGATGAAACACGAAATAAACACTTTATTCAAATCAAATATAAGCTAAATTTTTATTTCACTCATTGATTGGATGCTCTCTCAATACGGATGCCCAGGGATATCACACCTTCTTCCCCTCTCTTCTGCATGCTACTGCCCCGAATCCTTTTATATTATTAGCTTAGATTATTTTTTTTAATTTTCTCATCATATTTTTCTCCAATCTGTTCTTTGGTTGTTAAAGTAAACTATAAAATTAGAAACAAATATAGCTTCTGCCAAGATTAGAACTTGCACCCCATCATTTAGGACCTGTTTTATATAAGCAGATGCCTTTACCATCCTACTTCTTCTATGTGCTGTGTCTCTTTTAGGATGTGGAGAATCACGGCACAACACAACTTCCTATCCATCATGGCCTTTAGGAGCGTTTCTCTCTTTGCCAAGCCTCCTGCCCCGTGTTCCACTATCCATTCACATATGCTCATCAGGTAGATGGCTCACTGCCTGCCCCAATTTCTCTTGCCCTCAATATGCCTTTTGAGGGTTAAGTTTTCCAAGTCCTCCTTCCTCATCATGTGTTCAAGAAATTTCAGCAGTCTTTTTTCTGATTTTGAGTAAAAGTGTTCTTTTTGTTTCCATTTCCTTTAAAACTTTCTCATTGCTTGCTCACTACATTCATAATTCTTTATTCATAGAATTCTCAATATCTTTTTGTCAAACTACATTTCTCCTGCCTTCAATTTCCTCTTCATCTGTGGGAAGATTGTCCAGCATTCACTGCTTGTTATGATGTTGATTTGGGGTTAGTAGAGACAAACGCCAAATAACACGTAACAATAAAAAGGGTTTTAATAGGTTGGTAAAAAGGTACAGAAATCGCCTGAGTAGTCAATAACTAGCTCAGCTAAGAACTTCTATGTCTATCGGTCTCCCCCATGTCAACTGACATGCCACTATTTAAAGTCTTTGTTCACAGACACAGACAAGTTCATTTTCAAGAGAGGTGGTAGGTTTCCGACACAACACTGCTATACAAGAGGGTTGATATCACATAACAATTCAGTACTCTTTCCTTTGTTTCTAATGAAATTTTCCTGTTTCTTAGTACTTTGTTTTGGTTTTGGAATGCATTTTTTGCTAATTCAATACACATTCAGATTTCAGTATTGCATTTTCTATCCTCTCTTAAAACACTTACCAGATATTTAAACTTCTGTGCATGTTTGATGTTGACATCTCCAATTCATAGTTTGCATCCTGGGGCTTTTTCTCTTGCTGACAACCATACTTTCTATCTTTTTACGGTTAATAGCTAGTCTTTTTTCTCACTTTTGCTACCTTGTCTAGGAGGTCCTGCAGTTTCCTTTCTAATTTGGCAATCAACACAGTGTTATCTGTGTATTTTATAGCATCAAGACACCAATAATAAATCCTGGTAGGTTGCCCAGTTCCCTGAGAATAGCATCACTGTAGAAGTTGAATAAATCTGGGGAGAAGATACATCCTTGTCTTATGCCCCTTTCTATTTTTGTGCACCTACTCATTTTGTTTTCTATCCATATGCAGACAGTTTGCTTCCAGTATAAGTTCTGGATTATTCTAACATTCTTTCTGAATAGATCTAGTTTTCCTAATAATTCAAATAGATCCTCATGCCATACATTGTCAAATACATTTGCATAATCTATAAAATATAAGAGTACATCCTTCTGCATTTGTATTGCTCTCTTTGATATCATTCTAATGAAAAATATCACATTTCTTATTCCAGTGTCCTTGATAAAGCCATACTGTGTCCTACTTCTGGTTTAATTCCTGCTTCATGCATTATTCATCAGGATTTGGATCATTAGTTTGGTTATATGGCTCATTAAGCTGATTGTCCAATGAAGTTTGAAATCATTTGCACCAGGTTTCTTAGGTAATGCTATGAAAATGAATCTGCTGAGGTCCTCTAGTATGTTGTCACTGTTGTATATTTTGTTTATCACTTCTGTGACCTTGTTGACGCTGAAACTGTCAAAGGTACTGAGCATCTCTATTACAATCTCTGGTCCTGTTGCTTTGTTTCTGTTCATCTAAGATACTAGGTCAGGACCAATAATCTTGCAGATTCTTCTTTGTATTTTGTATAGATTATCAAATAAAATTTCTACTCATGTCTTGATAAAGCTCCTCAAGGAATGAAGCACATTGGCATAAAAGGATCTCCTCTTGTCTTTTCTTTTATTGTTTTTACATGTATGTTTTATTTATATCTGAATTTTTACACACACACATATATATTACTCATTTATTTTGAATTTAATTATTTTAAAACTACGTTAACACTGTA